TAATAATAAATAATCAAATCAAAAATACAATTAAGGAGGAATTAAATTTCATATTCTCAAACCAAATTACGAGTTAAGTTAGTTGGACAATTAACTTGGTATTTACAAGATTTTAAGTTCAATTTTTTTTTTTGTAGAAATTATCTACTAGTACAGTTAAGTTGGTCAGATAGTTGGTTTTGTGACCTGAGTAATTACTTCCAACATAATCGATCGAATCAATAAAATATATATGTAATTTGAGAGGAAAAGAGAAGAGACCCAACAATTTTAACTTGAAAATCAAAAGGTAAAAATAATAGGTCTTTTGAGTGCCAAGTCAAAAATTCACTATTTTATACATAGTGTATGGCTGTCTTCTCTGGAGAAATGGAGCTGTCCCCCCAACCCGGTTCCTGACTCCTTTTATAGTAGAAGAGAGAGTAATAAAATTTGGGAGAAGGAGAGTAATAAAATAGTCAATAATAAATGGGTAATAATGGATGATAAATGGGTAATTAATTGAGTAACTAACGGGTAATAAAGGGGTAGTTAATTGGGTAACTAATGGGTAATAAAGGGGTAATTAATTGGGTAACTAATGGGTAATAAAGGGGTAATTAATTGGGGGTTATGGAAGGATAATTAAGAAACCAACTAGTCATTCTTTCAAAAGGTTGAACCCCAACTCGGCAGAGCTGGGAGGATGTAAATCATGGTAACTCAACTGAACATGAACCATAGAGGCTAGACATTTGCTTACTACGCATAAGGAGTCCCCCTCACTTTGAGATATTGCTCCCACGCTGCCGCTGGTGAGACTTGATCCCTGGTCATTCTTTCAAACTTTCACCTCTATGACCAATTGACCAGTTGAGGTGGAACCAACTAGTCATGTCCCGAATGCTGATTGTCGGGCTCGAGACTCAACTGTCTACTAAGTGGTACTGATAAGATACACATGTTGGGTATTCATCAGTATACACAAGGTTCTAAGTTAGACGGTCTACTGACGTTCTTGATTTAAACCTATCAACTATGAATAATCTATATATACTAGTTTACTTCCTTGTGATTCAACCACCACAAATCATGCATAAAAAGTGTTGTACATTGAGCCCATCGGTATATGTCACGTAATAAAAATAAATAAAATAAGAAGTGAAAGAAAAATAGAGTATTATTTGAGAAGACATAATGGAGACTGGCCGGAGAGCAATGAAAACACAATTGCACTAAAGGGTCTAGTGGATGAGGTAGAGACAAATTTGCACACTCTTTGATGGAAAGCCACAACTTAACCATTCGTCTTTTGACATTGTGGGCAAAAGGAACAAAAGATAATTAGGGAGTTAATACAATAATTAACCAAGATGTAAACGCCATTATATGTACTATTACACCGCAAAATCAAGGTGGGGAAAAGTGCAGATCATACTAGTAGAAATTCTTTTGGAGACAAGTAGACAGCTCCATGTGTATACTTTCCTCTTTTCATTATTTTTTTAACATTATAATTATAGATTTAATATTAATATCTTTACCAAATAACTATATTACACTATATATAACCATAAATACTTACAAATATATATCTGCACTTCAAAACTTAGGTTTACTTTCAATAGAATTTAAACTTGGATATCCTAATTAAGTATCTGGAGATTACAAGTTACATTTGTAAATAATATTGCCTAAAATTGTAAATATGCTATAATATAATATTAGTATGGAAATGCATGCAAAGTTGTCAACTTTGTATGTGTTATTTAAAGATAATTAATGCAATCTTCCATGCATCATTCTACTTATAATATGTGAGATTTAATATTTTTTTTTTCAAATATTGTCTACTGAATCATTGAGTTAAGCACGTCCAGGTTGCGAGATTTAATGTTATTTCCACCGATGGAAGATAAGCTGACATGCCCTTGGATTTCGAGCTGCTTTTATATCTTTTTCTTTTTCTATCTTTTTTTTTTCTCTACATGAATTGAAGGAGGAGCATGTTGGGATGTTTTCTTTTTCTTTTTGTGTCACCTTTTTGACTTTAATGCCCAGCATATTTTGATGATTGAGCTTTTTCCATGGAGGTGCCAAGAAGATGATGATGATCAACTCAAACTTGTGGAAATTATGATTTCTTGGTTTTTTTCATATACCAAGATTAATTATGTTCATACCGATTAGGACCTCAAGAACAGTATTTACTAGTTACTATCTCTGAGTAAGCTAGAAAAGACATACAACATTTCATCCGCGCCCAATAAGTTTTGGTTTTGAATTCCAATTCAGAAGTGAGAAAAATAAGGCACAGTTCTCCCACTTGAGATGTTAATCATTGCCCCCTTTCTTTTTAACCACTCTCTGTTTTTTAGGTTAATGGAATTTTATGCTGGCTGGCTCATGATTTTGTGTCTTTTTCCAGCAAATGATTTGATTTCACATACCAAATTCAATGCTGCAATAACAGTACTGTCAGCATCTCAGAAATCAGCAATGCTGCTGAAAAAGGAACTGGTTTCTTTAGAAGACTAGTCAACAACAAGATTTTCCCTTGTAATCAACCCTCCAATTCATCCATTCACCATTAGAACATCCAGACTTCCATGTTTCAGAAGTCATATACAAAACACATGCTAGAAACTGGAAAGAAATAGAATATTATAGTGTCAAGAATGACTGTATAAACTAGACATTCTGTACAGGTAAGCCATGGGAGATTCTGCATGAAGCTTTGACAGAGTAAACGTGAAATCTTCCAACTTAGAATGGACAATGCTGGATCTTTGTTATAATCAGGGGAAGCCTGTGAATTCTTCAGAGTTCAGATGATCTCCTGCAAGTGAGTTCTTGAATTAAAGACGGTCCTGGAAATGAGAGGAAGCAAATTACAAAGAAATAAACATCTGCTTCAAGGCGTCCACAGGGCAGGAAGACAAAAGAGTGCAGTAAAACGCGGGAATGAAAAGATATTGTGAGGAATAAAGAACAATGAACTTGGAATGGCTCTTAACCGAAGAACATCCAGAACCAACATGTGTCACATTCCAAGTTGAATTGTTCTGAATGTTCTAAATTATAATAATCTGCAACTGGCCAGTGTAAGAGAGCAAGAACCGAAGCATAACCAAGTAATTACAGAAAGAGATAACATCCACGAAATTGCAGGTAAACAGCTGAGAACGAAACAAATTCATAGCAATTGAAACTAGAATAGAATAGAAGCATATATTACCAAAATCAGAAAGGCTTAGACAATAAAAGAAAGAATTTTGCTGTTATTAGAAATACCAAAGATTCGTGCAGATTGCAATGCAGTCTGATAAGGCATCCAAACATCAAGAATACATTGGCATAATTGATTACACAGAGTAAATGCAGCAAAACTAACGTGAAAGCAAAGAACAACTGTAAGACCTTGGATCTCAGTACAGTCGAAGTATGCTCCTTGCAATTGAATGTGCGCCATTTTGCCTGTTTTTCCCTGCTATACCTCTCCGGCTACCTCTCAAGGGAGTCAAGTAAAAGCGCAAGAGACCATTATCAATGTGGTTAGGGGAGTACCTAGCACTCCGATTCCTTTCCAACACGAAATCGTCTCTTCTTTTCTTCCCATTCATCTCAACACTAGATTTCCTTCCAGTCCCAAACGACCCACCCATATAGTTTGAATTCCTCCAGCTCACGCTACTATTACTCCGGAACACCTTCCTATTAAGCCCTGCTCTTGGATCGCCATTACTCTCCCTTCTAAACTCTTGCCAAGACTCAGAAAAGGACCTCTCCACCCCGTTTGCCCTGCTATACCTATCATCTTCTTCATCTTTGTTCCCGCTACCTCTACGATATATAAACCCCAATATACTCCAGGTCCATCTCCTAGACTTTTTCGAACGCTTCTGCTCCCCATTCCCAATTACTGAAGCATTGTCTCTAAAACCTGCCAATTCAAAAGTTTCAGAGCAATCGTCCCTCAAAGAATTGGAATTTGAATCCCGATCGCCCATTAACACCTTTGATCCATGAAAGTAATCCGTAGCGGGCAACACTTTAGCATTAGACACAGACTTCATCTCATCAATCTCAGCCACCACAGCTGCTGCTGTCTTCCTAATAGAGCTAGACCTGTCAAGACTCTTTCTCCTTCTGGAGGATGAATCTGAGTAGTATTCCTTGGTCTGAGCTGAGCCACCCGGGACAGTGTCATCCCCATTGATGCAGTTCATCATAACAGGCTCCTCTACTGGGATTTGCATATCAGTACGCGAAACATGCACCACTGGAGCATCCTCCACCACAGAGACCATAGGCGCCATTCTTGGAAAACTCCTTCCAATCAAATACCCGTCCCAGGAAGCCCGGGGCTCATCGAAAGAGTATCTGGGATCATCAAAACTAATCCTCCCAGCATCCAGCGAAAACCGGGGGTCAGTGTCACAAGACCTCCTTCCAAACCCATAATCTGCAATCTCGGATTGGGTCTCCCTGTATTGCCTCGAAAGGGGCTTCTCTGCAGGCAAGGGAGCCGAGCTTTCGCCATTGTTTTGCTTCTTGAGCTTCTGTTTTCGTCTCCACTTGTGCCATTTCTTGCTGAAAACCGAAGCTGCAGACCAAAAGCTCCCTGCAATTTCCTTCAAGTCCCTTCCTCCTGGCTTCTTTACCTGCGAATCAAGATCTATATGATCCTTCATAGGCTTCAATGTATCCTCCTCGTTCATACCTTCTTCCTCCAGAATTTCCAAATTAACCCCCCTATCGAACCCATTTTCGCTTTTGGGAGGTTCTGGAACCTCAATGATTTCTTCAATTCCATCGCTTTCATTTCTATTCTCACTGAAATCCTGCTCATTTTCAAGCTCCTCCTCCTCTTCTTTAGACTCGAGAACGGGCCTATTGACAAAATCAACGGCACCCTCATTGCAATGAGGGTTTTGAGAGCTAGAAGGTTTGGTCTCGTCATCGAGGGAGAAGAGGGTCCAGAGAGTATTCCGGACCCTTACGTCACAGGACTTCCGCTGCGGCTCAAAGGCCGCGGCAGAGAAGCCTAGAGCCTCATTATTCTTGGAAGCCGAGAACGACTTAGTGCGGCGGAGCTCCGGGAAGAATGTGGAGGGTTTTGAAGGCTTAGGCGGAGGGGGAGGGAGGCAGTTAGCAGCCGCGGAAGAAGCGGAGGGCTTAGAGAACAGAGATTTGATAGCAGCGGCCGCGGAGGAGGAGGAAGTGGAGGGGCGGCGAGAGGAGGAAGGGTTATTACCAGTAGCCGATTGATCTAATGTGGTGAGGCGCTCGCAGAGGCATTCCGGACAGAACCCCGTGAATTGCTCATCTGGGTGTCGGTCGCAGCTGAACGACGACCGCGGAGGCTGCGCCGGAGGCGGCTGCGTTGGGTCCGCTGCGGTGGGATTCATCCCCGGTGATTCTAGTGTTCAATGCGCACTCTCCTTCTGTTCATTCTACGCCATTGCAGAGCAAATGCGAGCGTGTTATGAAGCAATCTAACGTTCAAAAAGCTTGCAGGCTCTCAACGAACAAACAGAGAATTGTGAGCTCAGACAGAGAAAAAGAGGAGAGAATTCTACGAAAGTGAGGATTATAAAATATACCAACAAATATAGAATAATAGTTATTTCCGAATAGATAAATAAATAAAGAATAATAGTTATGTGGAACTAACTCAGTTGATTTGATCGATCAAATTAAAATCTTGCTTAAAATTATCTTTTCAAAGATTATTAGACAGGATTCTGGAACTTAAGATCTGTTATAAACGGTAGACTTAATGTATCAAAAACTATATATAGCATATTAATAAATGAATAAATTATGGAGTAATTTTTTAAAAGATATTGGATTTAAGGAGTCCAATCCTATCTAAAATTGATTACATTAATATTTACATAAATTATTATTGTTTAAAAAGTTGATTTATAATGTTTTCTCGATAAAATATAGTATATTGATTTGCTATAGAAATGAAAGATTCCCGTCTCGAGAGAGAGTAAAAAGCAAAAAAGCAAATCACGCCATCACTAAGCTCTCTCCCTTTGCTTTCACACTTTTAGTTTTTATTTTTTATTTTTTTAAATGTCTCCCCTCCTACTCCCTCTTTACATCTCATTTCGCTTTCTTTCCTTGCTTTTTTGCTTTCGTTTTCCTTTTGGATTTTCGAAAGAAAATTTCTTTTTCCATTTTCAAAAATAACGTTACAGACCCTCTACGGTTATTTTTTCTTGATTTGTTATCTTTTTATGAGATATATAAATTTCTTATTAACTCGGGTAAAGTCAAACTAATTCACTAATAATTTATTATTTTTTTTTAAAAAAAAATAAATTTGAAAACAGTTATTACTCCATAATAAAGAGTGATAATTATTCATTTATTTTGTTTCAACTCCAATTCACCAAAAAATTGAATTTCTAACTTTAAGAACTCCCACATTTCGGCTCAACAGAACTTTTGAGTTACACTTTTATATATCACAGTTCGCACTTGTGACATCAATTTTCACGTGAATCAGCCCCTGATCAATTATATAAGGTAAAATTTAGTATACAAATTGGATGTAAATAGTGTATATGACTTTTTTACCCTTCCCCTCAATCACCTTTTGATGATAGTGATTGAGCATAGTATCAAATTAAATTGATGGTACCCAAAAAGAAGGCAAAGAACTCAAAATTTTATTGCTTTACTGGAAAAGATGAGTATTGATGAAATCATAGTTGATAACGGTAAACAAATTAAAGAACTTTCATGAGCAAATTATTGCCGTAGCTAGACTTGTTGAAAGCAAATGAATTGAAAAACAGTAATTAAATGCAAAAGAAGAAAAGGTATTGGACTTCCTTTATATATATCATATATGAAGAAAAAAGCTTCGAGACACAGATAAAATGATCAACTAATATAAAATAAATTTTTTAGTTTTATTTTGCTAACAGTTATAAGAAATTTGTAGATTACTTGAAACAAATTTTGTGATTTATCTCATCTATACCCGTGTTTAAGGCAGTTGTGGCTTATGGATTGGCTCACCAGTTGGGAGAAGGTTTGGTTGGTATTTGGGAATGTGTAAAAAGAAATAAAAATGAAAAACGTAAAGACTTGAAAGGATTGAAGGGAAAGAGTGGGGACTTATTGTAATGAGTCCAAAATTAGCATCTGGGGAGTCGATAAAGAAAGGGAAATGACATGACATGCCCCTCTGTCCTCTATACCTTTTCCCACAATTTTTGTTTCTCAACTCTAATTTCAATAATTTGTAAGGAGAGTTGGTAAATAAGCCAAGCACCCTAATTTGTAACAATATTGCAATTAAATACTCCGTATCTAAATTAAAAACAAAAATCTTAATTTAGAATTTATAAGGTCATTAAAATATTAATTTAATCTGAAATATGCATCGACATAGTTTTAACTAGTTAATCAACACAAAACAAGTTTACAGGTTTTACTTTACTAGCAAATGCAAAGTATAGTACCTTGTTATTGGCACTAGTGTATAAGTATTCGTGACTTGTAAGCCAGTTAAGACATCTCGCAACGGATTCAAACTTAGTTATTCCAAAACACCATAAGCTTATTATGCTTTGTACGCTTGTATAAGGTATATTATTTGAAGTTTTCTCCTAACTAAATGTTTGCACAACATAGAAAGAATCGTTGAAGATTTTTTTTTTTTTTTTTTTTTTTGCCAAAAGAGGAAATTTAATACTTATTTTTCAAACAATGATAGCTTTAAACTTGGTAATTTTCGTCTTATCAATGCAACATTGCTATGCCCTTGTTTTGTACTAATTAATGTTGTTCGTTCGTGACCCAGGTATTCACTTGGCAGGCCAATATAATCAATTTGAATAAAATAAAATAGACAATGAAAAAAAAAAGTCACAGTATTTTTATGTGGAAATCGAAAGGTAAAAATCACAGATCTTTTTTTTCAATGTTAAGCTAGAATTCACCATATTGCAGGCATTTTTGTACAGTAAGGTGTCTTCTCCGGAGGGATACCAATTGAACTCCATTCTTTCTTTTAAGGCCTTTTTAGTTTTTATAGTAGGGAAATGGGTGATAATAAATGGGTAATAATGGAGATTTATGGGTAATAAATGGATAATATATATGGTAATAAATTGATAATAAATGGTAATAAAGGATAATAAATGGGTAATAATGGGGACTTATGGTAATTAATTGGAGGTTAGGAAAGGATAATTAGAGAGCCAAGATTAACTGGTCACATTCCGAGTATTGATTGTGGAGTCCGAGTATCATGTCCGAACACTTGCTAGGTAATACTGACTACTGAGTACTGACCAAATACCCATATTCAAAATGTGTTTCTCAATTTAAAGAAGTAGAGAGAAGATCAAACAAATACAATTTAACTGATTCCAACATCATTTAAAAAAAAAAAAACTTTATTTATTATTATTTCTTCTAGTTAAAACATAGTTTTGATTGTACTCGAGGTACATGCAATTGCATACAAATTATCAATGATAATTAGATATTAATTATCCGGTTTAATATAATAGTAAAATGAATTATATGTGATTATGTGAATATTCACAACATCATATATCATAAATCACAATATAAATAATATTGGGAAAGTATCCTAATCGCATATTCAATATAGTTGCACCACTAAAATTAATAGAAGGTTTAGGAGATAATCCAAGGCCGGACAAACCTAGAAAATAACATAATCATATTGGTATTCACAAAAATAAATAAATAAAAATCATAGTGGTAGAAGAGCCAAACAATATTATGAGCAAGAATATATAATAATATTAAATTGTAAACGTCATGTCAAAGGAAAATATTACGTAAATATTTTTACTTTTTCAAAATGAATCATGTTAACCTTTTCAAATCATGATCATCTGTTTAACGATGACTTCACGTAAATCATTTCATAGATTCATTTGAAGAAAGCTATCTAATTACTCCGTAATAAGTACTGGCCTTGTGAACACCTACTAGCACACAAGTGAAACTAAAGAAGGCAGCGCATAATCCCTTTTGACTTCTAGCATCCAACGTGATAAATGACTCAAGAATGCCTTTTTGATGAAGGTAAACACTAACTAGCACCCTCCAAGCAAGAAGCCATAGACAAACATAACATTATGAACACAAACAAGTTAAGACTTACCTATAGTAGTATCATGGTTGCATTACTTGAGAATTTTTAGATGAATTTAAAGATTAGAGAATGCATACTCATTATTGCACATGCATTTCTTGTTACTAAGTTTTTGAGTTAGAGTGCGGCCTGAAGGTTTTTTTTTTTTTTTTTTTTTTTTTTTTTTTTAACATAAGTAGGAAGTGAATTTCATTAGTAGCTTGATTAATTATGATATTTTGTGAGTGTCAATAAATTTTGACAAACTTATTAATATAACAATCAAAATCACCCCTTCATTGACAATTCAAAAATTAAAAAGTAATTATGCATTTGAGTATGCTATAAATATATAACTTGAGAATTAAAAGTACAATATTTTATACACATTCATATAGAAGCTAATACATGTGCGTATTAGATGGTTCCACATGACGAATTACAACTTTATCTCACATATATGAAACACCTCCAAGGGGCATCACAAAATTTTTTTTTAATGACGATAGAAACTCGCAACCAGTATTTAAGAATGTGCACTGGATAAAACCACGCTCCCATATAATAGTCTACAAATCACAATTTTTTTTTTATCAATATATATAATTTTTGTTGTTAGGCCTAGATTTAGTTAGGGTGTGTTTGGTTCGAACAAGGGAATCAAATACTTGGTAATTGGAATGAATTTTAGTGATATTTGCTTGATTGGTAGTTGGCTGGAATTGAAATAATTACCAACATTGATGTTTGATTATGTATAACCATATAATCGAATAAATGTTTTAAAAGTACTAAAATAAAAAATCAATGCAACTAATCTTAAGAGTAGCGATGAATGGGTAGGCAACGTGGCGAGGAAGTCGATGAAGTGAGGAGGCAATGAAATAATGGGGGATAACCTGATTTAAATTAGGTAATGAGATCGAGCCTCAGTAGAGGCGGTGTTGACTCTTTGTGCTTCAACAGGGTGAGAAAGTATAGATGAACAAATACTACAATATAATAGAGTCAGTAGCTTTCCAAAAAAAAATAGGTAATGAGTTTTATAATTATAGAGATAATCAAATCTGTTTTAAAAAGTTGTTAACCAAACAATATGTATGACTTTCATTATCATTCCTTGCGTCTAACCCCATTAATGGAATAAACTAATCCAGGTGGCTTGAATTAATTAAACCAAAATTAAAGAACGAATAGTAAAGATAAAATATTGTGTAGGAAAGATAATGTTTGTATTAATGACTTCTGTAATGTGCTTACAAAGTAGTGATGATGTCTTATTAGCAAGACAAATGATGGAATTTATACTAAAATTGAGCCTCGTACCCACCCCGGGAAAAGGGTGGGCGGTTAGAGTCCCTTGACCTAGTCCACACATCCCACCCCGCTTCTTGACTGACCCTTGATTGGGCCATGCTCGGCCTTGGTCATTCGAGGCCGAGCACCAAACTCTGCCTTGGCCGCTGC